AACCTGGCTTCAGACTTGCCTGGGGGCCTCCGTAAATATTTAACAGTGTCCCCTGTTACCTCCCCTGCTGTAGCCAAGGCCGGCACCATAGATCACAGCTCTCCTTCCTGCTGGACGGGGCCCCTCCCAGCTGATCGGCCTCCAGTCCTGACCTTCACAGAACTCCTGGCCTCCCCTGACTGCTTTGCTGTGCTGCTGGTTCTCAGTGGAGCTTGTAGGGACTGAGAAGTGGAAGAGGAGCCACTATGATGGTTCTGGGGGACTGCCTTGGACTTGGGGGTGGCTTTTTCCATTTGATGCAYGGATGATAGCCAGAATTGAGCGCTTTTTTTGGGGGGAGTGGTTGTGTACTGGGGATTGAACTCAGGGGCACTCAACCACATCCCCAGCCCTATTTTGTATTTTATTTAGAGGCAGGGTCTCATTGAATTGCTTAGCACCTTGCCATTGCCGAGGCTGGCTTTGAACTCACGATCCTCCTGCCTCATCCTTCTGAGCTGCTGGGATTACAGATGTGCACCATTGTGCCCGGCTTAGAATTGAGCTCTTCATGTGTGCTCAGCAGTCTGTTAAATACTTGATGCTGATTATTTGAGGTCAACCCGTCTTAGTCCATTTGGACTGCCATCACAAAATACCTGTGACTGGAAGCTTTAAACAACAGAAATGTATTTCTCAGGGTGCCGGAGACTGGGAAGTCTGAGATCAAGGCTCAGGCAGATTTGGTGTCTGGTTAGGACCTGTTTCCTGGTTCATAGGTGGTACCTTCTCGCTTGTCTTCACATGGTAGAAGGGGCAAGGAGGCCCACTGGGTCCCTCCTGGATGAAGACTTAGTCCATCCTAAGGCCTCCACCCCCTTGACCTCATCACCTCTGAAAGACCCCGTGCCCAATACCTACCTTGGGAGATGGGATTTCAATGTATGAATTCTGGTTGGACACAGACATTCAGACCATAGGACAGCCTCTCACGAGGACTCTAGGTGCATGTTTTTATGGCTATTTACAGAGAAGAAAAATCTAAGGTTAAAGACATTTTCCCAGAACCAGGCACAGTGGTGCATGCCCGAAATCCCACTACTTGGGAGGCTGAAGGAGGAGGATTGCAAGTTCCTCAGCAAAATAACATGACCCTGCGTCAAACTAAAAATAATAATAATAATTAAAAAAAAAGGGCTGGGGAAGGGCTGGGGATGAAACTCGGTGTCAGAGTGCTGGCCTAGCACGTGTGAGGCCCTGGGTTCAAACTCAAGTAGTGGAGTGGTGGGGGGAAGAGAGAAAAAGAAAAAAGTGTTCCTTGAGTAATTTAGCCAGTGCATTTGGCAGTCTAACTTCAAACCATGATATTTTACTGCTGTGCTTCACTTTCTCTTCTTTTGTAGGCGTTGATACTTAGACACCTGAGCTTCCTTTTATATCCATTTTTCCCTGGGTCATATACTGGGCTCTCATGCCGCCAGGTGGATTGAGGATGTCCCCTGCAGAGTGCGTGTTGGGTGCAGGTGTGACTCTCAGCTCTTTCTCCGTCTCTTCTCAAGACTTTTCAGTCACTGGTTTCCTGCAGCTTGTCCCCGGCACCTTCACGGGGTCTGTCTGTGTTTCTTGTGTGGGATTCATGGAGATTCTTGCATCTGTAAATCCATGTCTTTTATTGAGGTGGTGCCATTTTTTCCTTCAGCTATCAGTCCTGCTCCTTCTCTTTCATCTTTTCTTTTGGACTAAAATTACCCGTCAGTGAGGCCTTCTGATATTGTGCAACAGGCCCCTGAGGCCCTCTCCAGTTTTTTCATAATGTTTCCTCTATTTTCTAGATTGAACAATTTCTGTTGATCTCTTTGCAAATTCATTAGCTCCTCACCCCCTAATCTGCTGTTGAATGAATTTAGGGAATTGATTTTGAGGTTTCCCCCTCCCCCCCAATTTCTATTTTTTTTTTTCTTTTAGTTTTCCTGTTGAGACTTCCTGTCATTTCATTCACTAAGAATATATTTTCCTTTAAGTTCTTCAGCATAGTTATAATAGTTGCCAACTCCAGCAACTGGGCACCTTGAGGACGTGGCCACAATCATCTGTTTTTCCTGAATGGGTCAGATTTCCTCTTTGGTCATTTGTTGTACTGAGCTCTTTTAATCGTGGTGGACCCTGTGGATGAGAGGCTGTAGGTTTGAGTTCCACTCTGTTCCTCTGAAGAGCACTGCATTTTTGTTTCTGTGAGGAGTAAACTTAGTGGCTTCAAACTGTGCCTCTTACACGGGCAACAGTGAAAATCTCTGTTCAGTTCTTTGGGCTCAGGGGTCACTCAGTGGTACTGAGAACATTTATACACTCTTAATTGGGGCTATCCTTTTCTGGATTTTTCTTTTCTAGGATTTCACCTCTCATTTTCAGCTATTGTGAAAATGAAAAAAATCTTGATCTCTCTGTCCTGATTCTTAAATTCAGCAAAACTAAGTTTTAGCCCCCAGTATGTACTGACCTGGGCCTGACCTCAGGCTAAAAATGACCAAAAGGAGGACATCAAGGAAGTGCTGATCCATATAGTGGGCCTCCTGCTGCATTTGGTCATTCTGGTGCCTTTCGTGAGGTTTCTTTGTGTTCCTGCCCTCCCATCTCTCCTCCCTCCCTCACTTCTCTTCCCCTTTCTGTCTCTGATCTCTGCCTATCTCTTTACTCCATCTCTCTCTCTCTCTCTCTCTCTCTTCCCTCCCGGTTTTCTTTTCTTTTCTTTTTTTTTTTTTGCAAAAAATATTTTGTACAGAGTTTATAGTTATTATCCACAGGAGCGCTTGTCCAACAGGAGTTACTTGACCACTGCCAAAGGCAGAACTTTCTAGAAACGGTGCCTCATTCAATAAGAGAGGGTATAGCTCAGAATGGAGAGAACACACTTAGGAGTGAGAGCCAACTAGGATGCAGAACCCACTCTGCCTCTTAAAGCCTGAGGCTTGGGAGTGTGGTCTGTACCGTGGGTGAACACACGGGCCTCCACACGCCGTGGCAGTTGACATGAATAAAATAACGCGTGCTGAGCACCGAGTCCTGGGCATCTCCCAGAATGTCCTCGTTAATTGGTGGCCACTGCTGACCCTGAGGAGACCCACAACCCTGGTGTGACCCTGTGTGGTAGGTGCTGTTTTCACCTGCACAGGTGAGGATATCAGGGTACCCAGGTGTTGTGAGGGGTGGTGGGTGTGTGGAAGAGAACCTGCCTTGCTGTTTCCTTGGTGCTTGCTTTATTGATGAGCAAGTGTGTGTGGTGGTGGGGGGTCAGGTCAGGTGGATCTGGAGGTAGCTGGCTTGATTTCCATTTGGAGAATGGGCGGCTTTTCATCTTCCAAGGATGCTTAAAAACGGGATGAATGCCCTTCTGGTGCAGGTGCTGCGGGAGGCAGAGAAACGGCCCCCCAGATGCCCTAATCTCTTGAATCTGTAAGTACATTACGTTACAGGGCAAAAAGGACTTTGCAGATGCCATCAAGGCTGGGGACCTTGAGATAGAGGGGTTATCTTGGATCATCTGAGTGAGCCCAGCATAGTCACATGGGTCCTGCAATGTGGAAGAGGGAGGCAGGAAAAGAGCCTGACAGCAGAGCAGGGGCAGAGAGGGACCGGGGCTGGATTTGCAGATGTAGACGGAAGCCGTGAGCCCAGACATACCTGCAACCTCTGGGAACTAGAACAAGCGAGGGAGCAGATCCGCTCAGAGCCCCAGAAAGGAACAGCGCCCTGTTCTGCCTGGGTTTTTGCTCAGTTGAGACCCATGCCAGACGGCTGACCTCCAGAACTGAGAGAGAACCCAGCTGGGCTGTTCTCAACTGCTCAGTTTATGAAGATCTGTTTTGGTGGCCGTGGTGGCTGTTGATTGAGGTGGAGTCATGGTCAGGTTCATGGGCCTTTGAGCAGACGCCTGGCTTCTAACCTGTGTGACCTTGGGGAAGCTGCTCCACTTCTGGGCTTCAAATTTCTCATCTCAAAAACTGAAAAATAAGGGTCTATAGCGCATAGCTGCTGTTGTTCTAAGATGAAATGAGGGTTCGCTACCTGTGAAGTGCCTGGAAGTGAGTTTGGGTGTAGCCTCTCGGGGGTGGCAGTCCTCAAGACACCTTGGATCCGTGGATCAGAGCCCAGACTTGGGAGGCAGTGTGGCTCCAGAGTCAGGCCCCCTCTTACCAGTGTGAAGTAGTCCTTGTGCTCCAAGATTCATCTGGGAACCTGGGTCAGGAGTTGAGGGGACCTTACAGGATGTGGGGGCCAGCTCTTCTTGCAGGGTGGCTAATAGATGCTCTGTGAGGGGCGGTGAGTGCTTCGTTGGTGGCTGGGGAATGCTGAGCCTTGGGTCTGGGCATTGTGGACCCTCTTTTTCTGTCTGTGGGGTAGTTTGAGGATGCTGGCCTCACCTAGAGCTGGAACCGTACTTGGAACCTCACGGGGGCTGCAGGATTGCTGAGTGAATGAGCAAGAAAGGAACAGGCCTCAGGCCCTGCCCTGAAGAAGCTCACAGCGCAGGACAAGGTCTGGAGCCACGCCAGGGTTTTGTGGTTGTCTTTCAAGAGAAACAAAACAACTACTTCCCACCAGCTGACCCTCAGCCTCTCAGCTCACTGCTGGGACCTTGCAGCTCTGCAGGGAGCCCAGGCCTGGTGCCAGGCCTGGCTTTGCTGTGGCTCTAAGCCAGACACCTAACTCTCTCTGCTTTTATGCAAAATAGATGCACCTCAGCTCCACCCTCCTCCCAGGGCAATTCTGAGGACCCCCCCAGCAGTTGGAAGGCCTCTATTGGAGGGGGTCCTGGGTGCATTTTGGGAAGCAACACTCAACCACCAGCCCCAGGTACTCTTGACCTCCCTGGGCTTGGGTGCCAGAGTTATGGGAAGTTGTTTTTTGTGAGTTCCTCTCTGAGAATGTCAGGGTCAATCATGAGGAGGGAGGGGTGGCCGACTGCGGTTCTGGATCGGTGAGTGTGACAAGATTGTTGTTCCTTCCTCCTGTCCCAGGCCTGATCTTCGGACCAGAAGGAGGTTAAAAACATGCTGCTCAACACAGCTGTGCTGCCAGTTGCAAGGAGCCTCATTCTAGATCTTTCCTGAGCCTGATGGATTTACAGTGATGTCCAAATCTCCTGGGGAATAAGGAGACCACTGGTGGAAGCTCGCCCTGGAATTACACACACCTGGCACATTTTAGGATGGTACAAGGGATTTTAAGGAAGACCCCTGGCAGAGGGCTCCGTGGTTTCTTCCAGCCTGGATGCCTTCAGGGGATGCACAGAGGACCTCAGCTGCCAGCTCCCTCTGGCTCCCTCTGAAACGTAAGTCTCCATTTCCTCCCTGTGAAGCATCTCTTGCATATTCTGTCCAGTGCGCTTGGGGCTTTAGGCGCGGCTGTCCTAGCTAGTGGTGGCTGTCCGAGCTCTGACGTGCCTGGTCCTCAGAAGGAGCTGGTATTTCATGAGCTCATCATCTATGAGTCTGGCATGGTGCTGGGAGCCTGGGACAGACAGATGCAAATTGAAAGGTCCTTCCTGGGAGCTGCCCCTGTGCCTTGTGCTGACGTGTGCTGTCCTGCCTGTCACCCTTCACTGATCTTCCTGGTTCTTGTATCGAAGTCTTCCGGGGTGTACGTGCCTTGAAGGCCAGGGTCTCCGGAGCATGTCCGTGTCTTTAAAACGTCGTCACACGCCTGTCACACTGTCCTAAATTCTGTAGAAAGGATGAAGGAAGACATGATGGTTAGTGAATTAGGACACCTGAGGTTCTGTGGGGAAGAGGTGCCCGGGGGATGGTTGTCTAGCTCCACGCAGACACCTGGAAACAACGTAAGTCCACGTGGCTGACGCTGAGAGAGTCGGATGTCAGCAGGCGCCTGTCCTGAGTGTCAGCCTCCAACATGTGCATCGTGTGTAATTCGGGGCAAGTGGCTGCTGGGTTCCTTTCCCTGTTCTCTTCTTAGGGGCGAAAGATCATCCTGCTCGACAGGGTCAGTGTTGAGGATCACACAATAGACACTGCTGTCAGGGACACGTTGGACCCTCTGCACAGGGTCTGGACAGTGCTGGGGCTTGGGGATGGTGGGTGTCACTTGGTCCTTGAAGGTCACTCTGAGCAGAGCCAGGTAGGCAGTGTTAGACTTTGAACTGGGCACTACCGGTTGGCATGGACAGCTGATGACAGGTCACAGTTCTTGGAACCCGTGAGTAGGTCAAGTGGCAGGTCATTAGTAGGCAAGGGAAGAGAGCCTCATGCCAGCTGGAGGGAGTGGACAGCTGCACTGGCCAGCATAGGCCTACTGTGCTTCTGCAGCTAACAGGCAGGATTAGCCTCTCAGGTCTGTTGGTGGCTTAGGAAGTTGGTAGCTCCAATATGTGTTGGCCTTAGTGCTGGGCTTCCTGAAGGACAGTGGCAGTTCCCATAAGCACTCAGGTCACCTGGGGCCACCAGGGATTTGACTGGGTAGGGCTTGGGGTCTGGTAGTGATAGGCTTCCCGATTGCGTCCTGCCAGTGGACCTTCCCAGACAGGCTGTCCTCACCTCCTCGTGTGGTAGAGTCCTCTGGCTCTCACACACTGCTCCCACCCATGGCTCCTGGATGCACAACATCTGTGCAAGTGACTGGATTCGATACATACAGCTAGTGCTCTCTGAGGCAAGGAACTGGGCTCTGGCTCCAGGAGATTGCTTGCATCAGCATCGTTGGCTTGGCAAGATGGCGGCCCTGCTGCGGTTTGCTTTCAGCTTTCCGGAGAAGGACTGAGGGAAGGACATCCTCCTTTGGAGCATCTGCATAGTTTAGCCCAACAGTCCAACCAGGCGAGCTGACTGGGAGCCTGCCTTGTGGTCGGGAACCTTGAGGCTGTTCGGCTTCTTGCTCAAGGGTATTTTTTCAGGAGAAGGCAGAGCAGGAAACCATGAACTCCCTGGTGTTTTATCCAAACTAGGCCACTCCAGCTGAAGGGCTARGACTTCTCCAGAAGAGTGTGTGGAGCCACCACCTCCTGCTGTGGAATGCTTGCTGGGTCCTTAGGACTGGGGRTCTTTCTTGTCCCTCAGGAGGCATGGACTAGTGCTGGTCCCCAGGAGATATCAGAGTCAGGATGTAGGACGTGCCCTTGGGGACACCAGGGCTTACCACCTAGGGTGATGGGTGTTGTGCTGCTGTGGCTGGCCAGGGAGGGGGCTGCTGAGGATCTGGGGAGACTTTCAGGGCTGGGAGATTCCGCTGGGTCAGCAGTGGTGAGCAGAGCTATCCTGGATGGGGGGATCTCTGCCAGGAAGGTGAGCRTGGGAGTGGAGGTGCATCATGGACCCTCTCCTGCTTTCTGCCTTCCGGGGCCTTCTCTCCCCAACCCTTCCATGGCGGCCCTGTGGTCGCTGTGCCTTGCTTATCACATGGCCCATGGCTCTGTTTTTCTCCTTTTATCAGTGACTTCCTAGAACAACACTACCGTGGTGGTCTGGGTTATCGCCTGCTCCCCATGGTAGGGTGAGTGTGGGCTCAGGGACCAGAAGACACACAACGGTTACAGACAAGACACCCCCAGTGTCTGTGAGGAGGCTGCTCCCTGTGGACGTGAGTCTGGCAGCAAGTCACCATTTGTTAAGCCAGGATCTGTGCAGGGGTCATGGCAAACAGGGTTCCATGCAGACCTCAAAACAGAGCTGCTGGGTCGGTGCTGTCTTTATGATCTGTTTACTGCTGGAGTCMCTGGGCACACAGAGTCAAGGCCAGAGAGTGTCCCAGGGACAACAGGAAGCATTTGAACACAGTTCTGTCTGCCTACAAAGCCATGGGACCTGGACCTGAGAGGCATAACCTCTTATTGCTTGTTGGAGGGCCTCCCATCCCACCCTGTGACTGTGACCTTRGAGAGATGACCTCTCTTCTCTGAGCTTAGTACCCTCATTGGAAGGGAACTGAATAGTTTCTCTTCTAAGCTGGGACCGGGACCCTTGGGGTTGTCAAAGGGGCATTGTCACACTTACAATGGGTGACAGCTGTGACACGGGGAAACCAGACATGGCCATCAGGACAGCACCACGTTTAGTGGCCGCAGGACTCACCAGTTAGATGACAGGTCCTGCAGCTGCTGTTCCCATGGCTGCTGGGTCTGGTGTTGATGCTGCCTGTGCCCAAAGCAGCTCCCGCGGTTCTCCATTCACGGTTGCGCAGTTCGCATCTCTGCTCGGAGCCCACAAGCTTGTTGGCTGGTCCCATCTGAGCTGTTTGATAGGATGTCTGTCTTGCTGAGCCCGGATGTCTCAGACTGTGCTTTTCCTCAGTGGGTCCCCGTGGTGATTGACAGCCCATGCTCTAGTCCTTGGGGCTGCCCTCCTGCCCATGTGGACCCTCAGTTGCTGTTGTCAGAGATGGCTCTATGCCCTCCTGTTTTCCCACAGCGTCCACTCTTCTGGGGTTTCAGTGACCAGCTTAGGGCTGCTTCAGAGCTGCTGTAGGAACACCTGGAAGGAGCCTGCTTGACCTCCCAATCTGGTGAGGTGGATGAGACCCTTCTGCTTACATTTGAAGAAACCCAGTTCAGAGACATCCAAAGCTGTCACGGTTGTCCCCAGAGAGCTCAGAAGCTGTGCGTGCACATGGACACGTCAGCCTTCTGCCCCTGCTTGGCCAGAGTTTCTTGGTGCGCTGATGAGGAGTGAAGGTGCTTTTAGTGGACAGGCAAGCTTCTGTTAAACAAAATAATTGTTTTATATTATTTTGGTAAGTTCAGGAAAAAAATCCCACAAATGCCTTTGATTTTGCAGATATTACTGCTTAGGATGAAGATATTTAAGAAAGAATATCTTCATCTTTGTAAAAATGCTACGTAACAAAAGTGGCCTTGGCCTTCCTGAAGAKGACTCAATTTGAAGCCCAGGTCCTTGATTTTGCTGTGTTGGCCAAGTGACCCCTGCCGTGTCATGGGGGCAGGGTCTGTGCGTCTGTGACATGGGGAACTCTATATCCTGCTCAGGTCAGCTGAGACTTTAGTTCATTGTGATTCTGGAAGATTTGTGAGAAGTGACTGTACCCCTTGGTCTAAAGCTAAATTAAGGACCACAAAAATCCCAGAGCCTTAGTGCTTTATAATCCCATAATTCTGTTGGCTGCAGCTACTGATCTTGGCCCTGCCTAGTCTACATAATGATCAAGCACCCATATTTCCCCATCAACCTCTGTCATGTTCTCTGAGGCTGAATTATGACAGTAAATATCACCCCTATGCACTCAGTGGATGAGATTGTCATTACTTTTCTTTCACTCATTTCTCCTTAATACATAGAGGATCATTTTACCTCTGCCATGAGTTTATTGTGAGAGTTAGAGAAGGGTATACGTTCAGGGACTCGATTCAGTATCTGGCATATAATACGCACTGAAGAAATATTAGCTATTTTTAAGTAAAAAGCTAAAGTGCAATTAGAAGATCAAAACAGACAGGTACAGAGAAACAAAAAATAGTGAGGATGATTGAGGCACTAAAATTTAATGTTAAGTTTTTATCTCTGAACTTGCTAGTTGGCATGTGCTGAGTAGGGGATATTTATGTCTCAATTAAGGATTGGCAAACAATTCCTATGGGGCTGGGGAGTAAATGTCTTTGGCTTTCAGAATMTAGGTAATATGTAAATCAGTGGGTGTGGCCTCGGTAAGCTGTAGGTTGTCTTTGGTCTAAAGGAAGGGGCCTGTTTGCTTTGGGGAGACAGGAAGTTCTTCTGGATCATAAACATTGAAAAAATGTTTATTGCAAGATGTGAATTTACCTGAGACTTGTCAAGCAGCTTATGGACAGCGCTTTCTCGAGGTTTTATAGAAAATTTAGCAGAAGGCCTTCCCATGGCTCGTTCACTGAGCACACGTTTATTGAGGGTGTCCCACGCTCTGACATTGACAGATAATAAAATCTACAGGCATTGCATTTTAGCAGGAGGTGCAACAATGGCAAGGGGTGATCTCAGTGATGCCATAGGGAACTGTTCTCAGTGCTGGGTGAACTGTCCTATCCCTGAATTACACTCTGGTCTCAGTGGTCATTTGGGATTTGGGTCCTACAGACCTGGATCAGGCATGGTCATTTAGCAACCTGCCATTGGAGTGGCTGTGTCAAAGAGGTCCTTGCCCTCTTGGACATCCACCTGTAACTATTGGAGGATAGAGCCAAATCACTCAGGATTTGGAACTTGGCTGTTTTGTAGCTGTGTGGCCTTACTAAGTTCCTTCACCTCTCTGACCTTCATTTGGTTCATCTGTAGATGTGACACCTTCAGATCTCTCTCTAGTTCATACCCAGCATTTGCTCTGTAACTGTTAGCT